AGCAGCTTGAAATACACATTACACAAGCTAATCGGATGGAATTGAGTAATATACTCGGGGGACTCACTTTTGGCAGAAGTGTAACAATAATATCACAAAATCCATGAGGGATATCCACCCCACTAAGAATCTGCAAAATCGTGTGCGTAAGGGAGGACCAACAACATCCCAGGACTCCTGATAAAAAAGAGCCTAAAACTTGTCTGGACTCGGGCTTTATTAGGATCCATTCAAAATAACGCATCCCTTACTTCCTCTGAACAAAAAGGACGAACCAAAGATGCAACATCCGAATGAGAAAGGGTAGGAAAGCCATTAGGCCAATCTGAAACCGTCAGAGACCGAGAGTCTGCTGTAAACAACGAATGGTAATAGGACATTGCCCAGAGAAGCAATTGATCCTGATGATAACACCACACCCCATCCTCCTGATGTAACCCCAAAACAACTTTCTTACTACCTTTAATGACTGCAGTTGTATGATAATACCTGGTATTCCTGTCACCATCTAAAATCCAGTGCTCCCTTGATTTTTGGAACCACAAATGCTCTTCCTGATGAAGAATAGCAGCTAGCACCCTATGAATCATCCGTTCTAAACGAAACAGACCTGAATGAGGGTGTTGAGCCAACCGAATCTGGACCCTTCTCAGTCGATTAATCAACTTGCGTTTCCTTTTATGAATATCACCAAACAAATCCCTCTTCCGCGAACTAATGTCAGAAGCAAGGGAACTCGAAGCCGCATTAAACTCCAATCCAGCTTTCCAATTAGCACGCACAAAATCACGGTAGGAAGGGTGTTGCAACCATACTGACTGAAACCGAAACTTGAAGGGGAAGAGTGGCTAACAACACCACCAAATCGAAAAAGTAAAGGACAGTGGTCAGAAAGAACCCTTTCCAGATGAAGAACCGTAGTATGCAGAAAAAGATGACACCACTGGTAATTAGCCAAAAAGCGATCCAATCTGGCAGCTTGAAACCCCTCCCTAGTGTCTCCCCTCCACCATGTAAAATGTGCTCTAGAGTAACCCAAGTCCAGAAGAGCCAAATGGTTAATCCATTCATGGAATTGATGAAATCTTGTAGCAACATGAGTCCCCAAATTAGTCGTCTCGCGTTCATCCTTAACAGAATTGAAATCCCCTCCGAGAACCCTTGGACATTGAATCGAACCCCCCAACTGAGCAAGCTTATCAAATAACAGGCGACGATATCGCTCATTTGGGCTACCATAGAGAGTAGTAAAGAACCAAGAAGTACCTTGCCTTTGACAATGCAAAAACTGTGAATGGGACCTAATAATCAAAATAGAACCAACAAAAGAATGCCACAAGATCCAAATGCCCCCACTTTGACCCCATTGCTTCTACACGAAACTGTTTCTCAAACCCCAACGACAATGAAACCTTATCTGCCTTAGAACCAGTAATTTTAGGCTCCACGAGCACCGATAAATTAGGCTTATGCTTTTAGCCAAAGGACTTTAGGGCGCGAACTAACCTATGAGACGCAACCCCTTGAATATTCCATACTAAAAAGACATAAATACAAACACAGAGGAAGGAAAGGGTAGACCCTGCATCAAGTAGCAATGACAACAACTCTGTCTTCATCCAAGTCAAAACCCGACTGGATACCCATATTCTCAGGTGGAACCATATACTTATCAGGAGCCACCTATCGCTGACCCATCTCCCTATCTTTAGGATTGAAGGGCGAAGCATCGTCGGACACCTCTTCACGGAACATAGTGCCAACTCTAGCCTGGCCTATGACTAAATATGGTCCCATTTGGCTGCTACCACATTATAGGTCAGAGCTGGCAGCTGGGAAGGAGAAGAAGGGGCGAAAGACTGATGGAATGAGAATTAGGCGATTTATCCCTCCTCGCCACAACCGAAGCAAAGGATAACACATTGGATGGATCAGACAAGGATTGAATGGAGCTCATTATAACGGGCTTGGGCCGAGAAGTAGAAACTGGTGGCCTGTTATCTTCAAGATGAGATATAGCTTTCCCCAAGAAAGAAGAGGCCTTAGTGTGATTCACAGGCCCAGCAGAGGGCCCAACCTTCTTAGCCGCCAAGGAATTATTCTGAGATCCAGTCTTGTCCCCCAATAGGACCTCATCATTAATAATTTCTTCAACGATACTATCATACAACGCGGCAAAATGATTCCCATCCTTATTTCTTATTGCATGATTCTTGCTCCTAGTAGTCACTTGATTATATGCAAAAATACTTATATATTTTTACACCAAATCCCCCTAAATTAACTAATAAAATGGCTATATTTTTGCACTTACCTTAGGAAATTTGTAGAATTATACTTTTATGCAGGAAGGAATCTCAGAAATTAAAAAAGATTCTTCATAAAATCTGCGAAAATATTGACAAATGGACCTGAAAAAATCCAATTTGAGAGCTAATATTACAAGCCCATTTCACAAGCCCGAATTGAGGATAATCTACGGAGAAAAGAAGCCTATAAACTGAGCCAAGAAGGAGAAAACCCCTAGTCCAACAAGATGTAAATGTAGGCTATCACCTAAGACATGGAAAAGAGACAAAAAGGACTTAGGCTATCACCTAAAGCTAAGGAAGAGAGGCTAGGAGACCACCTAAGTGCACTAGGCGATCCGAAGGCCAAATCTACCATCCAGGCGATCTCCAACAAGCATCAGGTGACCTCCTGTGGATGAAATTCTACTACAAACAGTCTCTTATAGGTGTTAGGCGATCTCATATGTACCAAAAGAATCTCAAGAAATTAAAAAAGATTCTTCATAAAATCTGGCGAAAATATTGACAAATGGACCTTGAAAAAAATCCAATTTGAGAGGGCTAAAATATTACAGGAGCCCATTTCAAGCAAGCGGGCGCCGAATTTGAGGATTAATGCTACCGGAGAAAAGAAGCCTATAAAAACTGAGGCAAAGAGGAGAAAAACCCGCTAGTCCAACAAGATGTAAAATGTAGGCTATCACCTAAGACAATTGGAAAAGAGAACACAAAAGGCACTTAGGCTATCACCTAAAGCTAAGGAAGAGAGGCTAGGAGACCACCCTAAGTGGCACTAGGCGATCCGAAGGCCAAATCTACCATCGCAGGCGAGTCCTCAGCAACAAGCAATCAGGTGACCGTACCTCCCTTAGGAGACCACCTAAGTGCACTAGGCGATCCGAAGGCCAAATCTACCATCCAGGCGATCTCCAACAAGCATCAGGTGACCTCCTGTGGATGAAATTCTACTACAAACAGTCTCTTATAGGTGTTAGGCGATCTCATATGTACCAAAGGCAAATCAAGCGAGCGCTACAGTAGTTCCAAGGCTAAAAGTCCCCATTCATTGAATGACAGCTCATGCTTAGCTGTTATCTGATTGGACGTAGCCCACTTGTCCCACTTGCCAAATTGCTCAGAGAAGAGTACCCTCCAAGCATCTGAGTTTTATAAGTAATAGCATACATCAACAGAGAAAAGGGCTGGTTAGCTAAGAAAAAAAATAGAATATAGTTTATCACTCTGTAAATTTTTAGCATAGTTTCGTGTTCATAATCTCAGAGGTCAGGAGAGGAAGGTTGTGCGATAGAGTCTCAAACACAAAAGCCATACCTGATCCATCATTCTCCTCTGATATTATCTGTTATCTTTATGTCCTTTGTTTTGTTTTAGAAAAAAAACAATCTTCCTGTAATTCCGTTCTTTTTCTCTCAATAAAGATATAGATTACTATTTGGTTGCTTACATTGTTTTATCTAAAATGAGTGAGTAAACCAGCCATTATGGGAATGGATTAATATCTATTACCTCCGGAATGCTGGGGGGCTTTATTAAAAATTGAATCATCTATAATGTGATATAGATTTCTAGTTCAATTTATGCAAGACAAACGATTGTAAAATAAAGCCGGATCCCTTTGTTTACTTAATATTAGGTAGGTAAGCGAAAGATCAAAAGATGGAGTTCAAGCACCTGAACCACATAAATTATGCATTGGTTTTATACCTATAAATAGGATAATGCTAGTTTTAAAGGGGGAAGCTAATTATGTTTGCAATGCACGAAAGGCGTCATACGATTTTTATAGTTGACTACCTCGAAAGAGGAGGTAACTAACTAGAACAGTCCGCCCTTCAGAAAATATATCACCTCTGCTTACTATACTGCCGCCCACTTTTGGATGGTAATTGATCAATCCATCACCAGAATACTTTCTCATTTATAAATTCGAAGAGAAAAAATATATCTCTAACTTCTAACTTCTAACTGCTAACTGCTGACTTTTATTTTGTGTTATTTTATTTTTTTTAATTTCTGCTCTTTTATTTTACTGCTATTTAATTTTCTGCAATTTACTTTATCGCACTTTACTTTTGCGCACTTTTATTTTATTTAAATTCCAATCATTTATTTTTTTGCTATTTATTATTTTTAATTTACGTATAACTCACCCCTTTTATTGATTTCGCCTAATAATTAAATATTCAAAAGATTCTAGTACTCAATCCTTTCAATCCCTATGGATACAATATTTTATATACTATTTACTTGACCCATTAATACTTGTGGTATAGTCGCACCGCCTATTATTAGCCCTTTACAGGCACATGCCAAGTTTTTGGAGCCATTGCCGAGGATTGACGACGTGATTGGTATTAGAAAATTTTGAAAAGAGGATATATATAATAATATATATATATTATATATATTATATATATATATTTCTGTTTGGACTAACCTTTTATGGTCATGAATCGTTTTCTTATATATATATATATATATATAACTATAAAAATATATATTTCTGTGGACTAACCTTTTATGGTCAGATCGAGAAACGTACTTTATAGAGAATCAACAAAAGGCGCCAGAGAGAGATCGAAGTCGCATCTAGACTAGATACGAAGTGCTGAAACGCCGCGATCCGAGCCAGAAGAGGTAGAGAAAACAAAATCTGAATATGAAGAGTTAGATAATACTAAACAAATCATGGCCGAAGAAAGAACTTTATGGGATTTGAATGTTCTGAATCCCAGAGATATCCAAACTGCTGTAGTCAAACCACCTATCACTGTAAACAACTTTGAGCTCAAACTAGTACTAATCTCAATGGTGCAACAATCTCAATTTGCTGGTTTGCCGAGCGAAGACCCGAATGTTCATCTAGCAACATTCATTGAGATCAGCGACACTTTGAAGATAAATGGAGCAGTTGATGATGCCATTCAAATGAGATTATTTCCTTTCTCTTCGAGGGACAGAGCTAAGCTTTGGTTACACTTTATGCCCCCTGGTTCATTCACCACTTAGGAGGAGTTAAGCCAAGCTTTCTTACAAAAATATTTCCCATCAAGCAAGACCTCAAAGATGAGAAGTGAAATAGTCACATTTCGAATGAAAGAAGACGAGACTCATTATGAAGCTTGGGAAAGATTTAAAGATCTTCAGCGACAATGCCCGCACCATGGGTATGACATACCATTCCTAATTCAACTATTCTTCGATGGTGCGACGCCCTCAATGAGAAACACTCTAGATGCAGCTGCCGGAGGATGCTTCCTAAAGAAAAGAGTCAATGAAGCTTACAGCCTGTTGGAGGAAATGGTAGCAAGCAGTTACAGATGGAATGAAGAATGAGGAACAACAAAGAAGGTAGCCCGAATACTTGATGTTGACGGACTCACATTTCTATTCGCAAAATTTGATGCCTTGTCTAGGAAACTAGATAAGCTAAATGTGAGTGCTATCGGAACAATACAACCAGAACTTGAAGTCTGTGCTAAGGCAGGGAACGTATTTGTAGAAAATGATTACAAAAATCTCATGGTTCCCGAACCAGTCTTGGAGCAAGCCACACTATGTCCAAAACAACTACCCCCAAGATCCATGATGGAACAATTCCCTAACTCCTATAAACCAGATTTCAAAAATCGCCCCTATCCTGCTACTGACCAAAACTTCAAACCACCACCACCTGGATACCCTCCGAGACAAAGCCAAAATTCATTCCCACAACAGTTTACTTCGGCCGGTCAAAACTAAAATCAATAATCTAGCTCTATCTCAACCCTAGAAGTCACTCTACAAAACTTTATCCAAGAGCAAAAACAAGCTAATGATGGTTTCAGGGACATGTTCAGAAAAATGAATGTGAGAATTGATCAACTTTCCACTCATATGAAATTCATGAAAAATCAAATAGCATAGCAGGCAAGCTCCCTAGGAAGCAAAGCCTATGGTAAGCTTACAAGCTAACTAGAACCAAATCCAAAGGAGCAATGCAATGATGTCACCTTAGAAGTGGAAAGACCCTAGAAGAGCCGAAGAGACAATGCAGCGAGAGGAGAAATCAAAAGAAGAAAAACCAAAAAATAAAAAGCATGAAGAAGTATCAAAAGAAGACGAGGAGACAAGAAAGAAGACATCCAAAGGAGAATAAAAGCCTTTAAGAGGAAAGCCATTCCATTTCCCCAAAGACTCCGGCAGACAAATCTAGACAAACAGTTTGTGAAATTCTTGGAAATCCTAAAACAACTGTACATCAACATTCCATTCTCTGATATCATGACTCAGATGCCCACTTATGCCAAATTTTTTGAAAGAATTCTGATGAAGAAACAGAAGATGGAACGGTAGCACTTATGGAGGATTACAATGCAATGATCCAAAATAAGTTGTCACCACAAATGAAAGATTTTGGAAGTTTCTCTATTCTATGTGAAGTTGGAGCAGTAAAGATCGATAAAGCCTTATATGATCTAGGAGCCGGTGTTAGCCTGATGCCGCTATCTATCTTCAACAGGCTCAACATTAGAGAACTCAGACCAACCAGTGTTGTCCTATAACTAGCCGATTGACCTGTTAAGTATCCAAGCGGAATTATAGAAGACGTCCCAGTCAAAATTGGCAAATTCTATATTCTAGTGGATTTCATAGTACTGGAGATGGAAGAGGATGCATAAACACCCATCCTTTTATGCCGACCTTTCCTAGCAACTATTGGAGCCTCTTATAGATGTTAAAGAAGGCAGACTCAACTTGAAAGTAGGAGAAGATGAAATAGTGTTCAACCTACTTGATATGATGAAGCAGCCAGGGCAAAATGCAGAATGTATCAGAGTTGACGTCTTGGATGAAATTTCAAAGGAGATAATTAGCAAGGAAATCTGTAAGGATCCCCTCGATAAGTTCATTCCAACTGTTTACAATGATGATGAGGGTGATCCTAAACAGATAGAAATAGACCCTCCACCCAATGATTTATCAATAGGAGATCCAATCACGTCACCGACAATACTTACCCTGTGATAATCAATTCTTCTTTAAATGTTGATCAAGTAGAAAAATTGTTGCATTTGCTTAAACAACATAGGATATCCTAGGTTATAACATTAAAGATATAAAAGGTATAAGTTCATCAATTTGCATGCATAGAATTTTATTTCAAGATGGATTTAAACCTTCAATTGAGACACAAAGAAAACTGAACCCAAATCTTAAATAAGTAGTTAAAAAGGAAATAATTAAGTTGTTAGACGCAAGTACCATTTATCTTATTTTCGACTGTAAATGAGTCAGTCCAATTCATGTAGTGGCTAAAAAGGAAGGAATCACTGTAGTGAAAAAAGAAGATGACAAGATCTTTGCCACTAGAGTTGTGACGGGATGGTGAATGTGCATTGATTATAGAAAATTAAATAAAGCCACCCGGAAGGATCATTTTCCCTTACCTTTTATTGATCAAATTCTAGAAAGACTAGCTAGTAAATCTTATTTCTATTTTCTTGATGGATTTTGTAGATTTTATCAAATTTATATTCACCCTCAAGATAAAAAAAAAGACCACATTTACTTCTACCTATGGTACCTATGCATTTAGACGTATGCCATTTAGATTATATAATGCACCTGCTATCTTTCAAAGATGTATGATGGCTATTTTTTCAGATTTTCTTGAAGAATGTATGGAAGTTTATATAGATGATTTTTATTTTTATGGCTTAACATTTGAAGCTTGTTTAGAAAATCTAGCTAAAGTCTTGAAACGGTGTGAAGAGACCAACCTCATGCTAAATTGGGAAAAGTTCCATTTTATGGTATAAAAAAGAATTGTCCTCGGACACATCATTCCAGAAGAAGGCGTAAAAGTTGACCGAGCCAAAGTGGAGGTGATAAAAAATCTACCACCATTGTCATCTGTAAAAGAAATCAGAAGCTTTTTAAGACACACTAGATTTTATTGAAGATTCATCAAGGACTTCCAAAAAACATCAAAGCCATTGTGCCACCTGTTAGGTAAAGATGTTCCTTTTCTTTTTGATAATAATTGTATGAACTCCTTTTGCAAGTTAAAGAAGGCACTAATATCTACAACAGTGATCTCGCCATCGGATTGGTCACTTCCCTATGAATTGATGTGCGGTGCAAGTGATGTAGCTATTGAAGCTATGCTTGGGAAAAGGAAAGATAAGAAAGCATACGCCATCTACTACGCAAGCCGGACGCTGGACGAGACACATGCCAATTATACCATAATAGAGAGAAAGCATACGCCATCTACTACGCAAGCCGGACGCTGGACGAGACACATGCCAATTATACCATAATAGAGAAAGAATTTCTCGCTATAGTATGGGATTTGGATAAATTCAAAGACTATCTAGTTAGATCAGAGTTATCATATATACAGACCATGCGACGATCAAGTACTTAATTAAGAAAAAAGATACAAAGTCGAGATTAATTAGATGGGTCCTGCTGCTATAGCAAATCGATTATGAAATTAAAGATGAGAAAGGATCAAAAAACATTGTAGCGGACCATCTATCCAGAATCAAAAGAGAGAGATATAGGAGACGACTCCTTGGTGCCCATTGATGATTCATTTCCAGGAGAGCAATTCTTCGCTATCCATCAAACAAGAGCACCATGGTTTGCAGACTATGCCAACGATTTAGCAAGCAAAATAATTCCTCATCACCTTACTTTCGACCAAAAAAGACGCTTTCTCAAAGAGGTGAGGAATTATTACTGGTATGAACCACTCATTTACAAAAGCCTCATCACCTTACTTTCGACCAAAAAAGACGCTTTCTCAAAGAGGTGAGGAATTATTACTGGTATGAACCACTCATTTACAAAAGATGCACAAACGAAATTGTCCATAGATGTCTACCAGAAGACGAAGTGCTACACACTGTCTTTCAGTGCCATTCTTTTCCATACGGAGGACACTTCAGCACTGCAAAAACAATTGCAAAGATTCTATAGTTTGGATTCTTCTGGCCTAATCTCTTTAAAGATAAGAAGCAATTCATCAGCACCTACTATAGATGCCAAAGAACAGGAATGTATCCAGAAGAAATGAGATGCCACAAAAAAGCATTCAAGAAGTAGAATTATTTGACGTTTGGGGCATTGACTTCATGGGATCTTTCCTACCATCATTCAATAATAGGTACATTATAGTCGCAGTGGACTATGTATCTAAATGGGTCGAAGCAATAATAGCACCAACAAATGACTCAAAGGTGGTTGTAAAATTTCTGAAAAAGCACATTCTCAACAGATTCAGTACACCTAGAGCTCTCATCAGTCATGGAGGATCACACTTTTACAACATACCTTTAGAGATTTTGTTGGAATGATATGGAATCACTCACCGTATTGCTACTCGCTATCATTATCAGACAAACGGACAAGACGAAATCTCTAATCTTGAATTAAAGGCTGCCTTGGAAAAAACAGTAAATAACTCTAGAAGAGATTGGTCTTTAAGATTAGATGATACTTTATGGGCTTACCGAATAGCTTTCAAAACATTGATCAGAATGACTCTGTTAAGACTTTTGTTTGAAAAATCATGTCATTTACCAGTAGAATTAGAACAAAAGGCATTTTGGGCTATTAGAACTCTTAATTTCGACTTAATGAAGACCTCAAAACGAAGATTACTGCAAATAGAAGAAGTGGAGGAAATAGAACTTGACGCCTATGAAAATGCAAAAATTTATAAAGAACGGACCAGATAATGGCACGACAAGCATATTTTGAAAATGGAAATTAAAGAAGGAGACCAAGTACTATTATTCAATTCCCGACTCAAACTATTTCCAGGGAAATTGAAATCTCGCTGGATCGGACCTATAAGGTGATCAAGGTGCATCCGCATGGCGCAATGGAAATTTGGAACGAGAAATCCAGAACATTCAAGGTGAACGGCTAAAGGCTCCAACTCTATCTAACTAGAGAGAACCTACTTGATGTAAGAAGGTGGTACCTCATCAATTCAGGTTAGTACCCTATCCTTA